GAATTGTCCCGCTGTAGATTTTTGTCCCGGAAATCCCGAAAACAAAAATCTGAATTAGGCTCATTTCCAGCAGTTAACTATAAAGCCATACTTCTTGTGTTTGCATACAGTTATGGGTTTGTATACATTTGATGTCAATTGCGGGTTTTTCAGTTGTGGGTTTTTAAACATTTGATGTCAATTGTGGGTTTGTATACATTTGATGTCAATTGTGGGTTTTTAAACATTTGATGTCAGTTGTGGGTTTGTATACATTTAATGTCAATTGCGGGTTTGAATCTCAGCAATGACATTGATGAACCATTATAGAAGTGATAAGGGGTTCAATCACCTTTATTTAAACCAAATGACCTGAGATTTAACAAACCGCCAGTGAGGACTGAATGCACACATTTTTAATTCATTTAGAATGTAACATGTGTTTGGGTTATGTCTGTAAAGCAAATTAAGTTAAGGCCTTTAAGTACTTTAATGTGCATGAAAGTATTCACATTTTCTTTGTTTTGAATAAACCCTTTTATAAAGTCTGCAAACATAGAAATCCTAACCTGAGAACAACCTTTTTTTGTGATTTTTGTCCTGGTGTATAAAATTTGTCATTGTGTGATAATAATCCTGTCTGGTACAGATAATTGTATGCATTGTTTAGCAGAGAAACCCAATAAGGGACTAGCAATCTTTTAGATCATTTTTATCTATACTGGATCACGCAATCTCGTCATTATGACAGCCAGTGTTTTAGCTTTTCTTGTTCAAATTCTGTGAAAAGGATACTTTAGAAATGAATAAAACTAAACTGGTGTGCAGTTTTCTTGATATTTTATGAGGTTCTAATTTCATACTGGTTTTTAGTTAAAGATCATTTTTAAATAGCAATTAAAGTTTGCAAAACTGTTCTAGTTGTATGAATGTACTTAACTTTAAGGCTCAATGTTGAGACAACTTTAAACCTTAAGACTGGCACATGTCAATATGATCTTTTTAACAGCATTGTAAGGTTTATGTTAACTGTTGAAATCCTCTACTGTATTTGCAGTTGTGGTTTGTTTGGAGTTTTGAACTGTCTTTCGTTGATTAGGGGAATTTTTGTAACAAAACACTAAAATTAAACGGCAGACAAAATAAGAATTTGGTCAGATTGCACTTGTGTGCAGGTTTGTCCCAGCGTGCAGCATGTTGGTAAAAGCAAATATCACTTATGCTGCAAATGTTCAGAGAACTTAATTGCACAATAACATTTAATTTATGAAGCAAATCTTATTTCCCTCCATATAGATTTTCATTTGTTGAGTTTGAAATATAATGTTTATTGATTTCAAATAATTTTGAAAAGTCAGCAACTGTTATTACATCAATTAAGTTTAAAACAAATGCTTACTTCAGCATATTCACCACTTTATTTGAGCTCACCTAAACATCAAGTAAGTTTAAAGCAAATGCTTACTTCAGCATATTCACCACTTTATTTTAGCTCACCTAAACATCAATTAAGTTTAGCATATTCACCACTTTATTTTAGCTCAACTAAACGCAAAATCCTTGCGATTGTTTGATGTCCATTGTGGTCCATTGTTTGCCACATTTGCCTAATGGCTGGCACATGGTATATGTAAATGTCTCAGTATGCAGATTTGCATATTGTCAATAGGTATACCTGGAGCGGTGGAGGTTAGCCTGGGATTCAGGCATTGATATTTTTTTTGCTTATTCATAACTTACGCGCTATATCATACTCGATCGTCATAGATAACACAACATCTCTGGTTTTGATAGTATCAACGCCTGGGGAAACCTGCGGGATTTCCCATGTAATTATTGACTAATGATAATCCTATTAATAGACCGATTAGCACGTGACCAACAAATTACATGACTAAATCGAAATTGAGGCGGAGATAATAAATGTTGAAAATTTGACGCCATTTACCATTATAAATTGAGTCCAGCAAAATTATCTGATGCTCACACACTTTATCTACTTTAACAAATCACACCTATTAATCAAATTCACTCATTATGCAATAGCCTTTGTCAACGAGTGTTAGTTTTTAATCGGAAATGGTGTTTTGAAAGCGAGGCTCCGTAACTGTTCGTTGAGCTTCGGATCACTTCGTGGAAATTCCGTTTCTATTTTTAGAAACTAGTTTGTTTATCGTTCTTTTATAACACCCGTAATTTTCGGGGTGTATACTAGGTGGCGCTTCGATCGAAAATTGTATTTCCCCAGGCTGTAGATTTGCCGAACAGAAGCACATAAAAAAATCGACAGACTGGAACCCAGGCTACGTGGAGGTGTGCAATTCCTACAATACCATTATAGCAAGGATTAGTCTGTCACATACATTATTGTATGTTATTGTATTTTTTGCCAATATATGGTCATCTTAGCATGACACATCCTTTTATATGTTATTAATGTTGACATCTTACACTAGGTAATCAGAAAATAAATAATTTTATTGAAGAGCAAGTGCAATCTTTATATTATCTAGAGTGTACACAAAATTTTGGTATTGCAAACCATATAGCACATAGGAAACAAAATAACCATCAATACAAAAAGGTCTCAAAGGCACATTTGCACTATATATATATATACATGTTAAAATCCAAGATACAGCAAATACTCCATTTTAGGGAGGTCTGCATGCAGAAAAACATTGGAAATTTATGCAGGACATGTCAATGAGAATTCTTCCCAGATGACCCTTTGCCTGCCCTCTCTCAAAGTTCAGTATAGAAATCGACTCTTGTTAATGATGTCAAACATAATAACATATGAAGGACACATCAAGTTATATTTGCATGATGTACAATAACATATACATGTGTATGTAAGTTCATGCCCCTTACATGGTCAAGTTATGACTAACGAACATCAGGAGTAACTTTAAATTGAAAATAAGAATGATTTATAAAGATATGTAGCCGCTACTGCAGGAATAGTGCAAGACTAGTTTGACCACAAATTTGGTGTTTTCTAATGTGTCTGTTAGCAGCATGGGTTTGAAAAAGCTACATTTCATATTGCAATTCTGAGATGTTGGTCATCAGAGTAGTAGGCAGTCACATCATAGATTAGTGGTAAAGCCATGGTCGTCAATAGAACAGATGATAGCTGAAGCCATTGTTGTCAATTGGAAGCCATTGCTGTCAATTGGAAGCCATTTTTGTCAATTGGAAGCCATTATTGTCAATTGGAAGCCATTGTTGTCAATTGGAAGCCATTGTTGTCAATTGCACAAATAGATGATAGATTGAGCCATGTTGGTTATCAATAGAACAGATGATAGGTTAGTCTATAAGATGATAGGTTAATCCATGGTTGTCAATAGAACAGATTATAAGGTAGGCCATGGTTGTTGATAGAACATATAAAAGATTAAGCTATGGTCATCAATGGAACAGTATAACATATGTATAGCAATGGTTGTCAGTAGAAAAGATGATCAAGAATGAGAATGCAAGGCAGGCTGCAAGGTTACAGCAACTCTTCATGTAGGAGCCAAATTAGCCATGACTCTCGGTGACAGAAAAATATAGAGTATTACTTGTAGATCAATTCTGATACCTGTTTGAATTACTCCTACCACTCAGTTAACCTCTGCTCTTTAATCTCCAGCATTCAGTTATTGCATGCCTTCCTGATGGCTGTCTTAAGAAATCTTTTGGTGTGCTTCATCGCACAGTGCCTCATTTCACTGCATGGATGCCCATACCTCATTTCACCTCATTCTGGCTCATTTCACTGCATGGTGGCTTATTTCACTGCTTGGTGGCATGTTTTATAGGATGGTGGCTCCTTCCATGGCACAGAGGTTGTTGCACTGTTCAGTGGCTTGTTTCACTGCATATTTGCTCATTCCACTGCATGGTTGCTCGTTTCATTTCACGGTAGACTGACAGCATGAGCTATATTTATTTAATTGAATGATGCTATTCAATTGTAGTTTTAAACATGCCCTTCAGGATATATTGCCGAAAGGTTCTAGAAAAGTCCTTGGAAATTTAAAGATGTCAAAGAGTGGGAGCTCAGTGTCTTTTTCCCATTGTGTTTTTCATGCTCCCAGTCAACTGGTTTAAACAAGATAGTTGATGGTAGACACCAGTTATTTGCAAGCTTGCTGCCCCACTCCCAGGGAAAAGTGGAGGCTTTACTTCGGACTTATCAAATATACATGTTGATATCCTGCCATGTGTGGACAGTCACTTGATTAATAACCTACAAGGTGCTGACTGTCCACTGGAGGTTGTATATACCTGGCTATTAAAATAAAACCATGAAACTGACCATACATCAAGGGAACAGGTAGGAGGTGTGGTGGTAATGGTGTAGGTAGTTTACCCTGTGGATTACAGCAGTATGCCACATTGAATTCACCAGAGCTTCAGCCTCCACATTATTCCTGGGTAGGCTGTCAGCAATTTACCAGTACTAGTTGTTTAAACTGATTACTTCTGTACATGTCAGAGCAATATTTTCAATACAGTTTTCAAACGGAAACTCCTTATAAATATATATTTATTAATGAATTTTGCATCATTTCATATCACCGTATTTATAATTCATAGTCGAAGTAATGGATGGAATATCGGTTAATCTGTTATGCTTGGAGAATACAGACATGCCATCAATGCTTTGCATCTGCTTAAAGGGTTTTAACTAGCTGATACTTATTATCATATGAAAAGGGCCTACATGAAATTTTCGCATGTTTTGCACATAAACCTTATGCATTTGACGAGACACTAGACATACCTGTAAGGTGTAGATTATAAGCATGTTGTGGTATCTTCAGTACAAGGTGGTCAGTTAAATTGAGCTTAATTAATACGAACATTAAGTTTAGTGGATTAAAGTTTATAAATTTAACCGACGGTTTATGAACAGTCTACGTCTATACGTTGTTTAATACTGGGTGATATATTAGTGGTATATTGGTGGTGGTTATATACGGTTTGGCATGTAAGTTGCAATTGTGCACACTAGGGTAGTGTATTGTCTGCTAACTGTGTGGTGTGTATTTTACCAATACACACATACACACACACACACTATGCGTTGTAGTAATACTGACACTGTTGTGTGAGTGTGTGTTTTAACTTATTCATACATCGCTTTATATGATGTTTTGTGCAAATAGTACTTTCTGTATAATTTCACCGTTGCTTTTCTTTTTGTCTGGATTACAAACGTTTAATTTTCTCGTGTGAATGAACAAGGTAAGCGTTATAACTGTGGTTTAAGAACATGTTTAAATACCTCAAAGTTTTCGAATAGATGAAAGGTGCATGTTTATTAATCAGGTGTAATGTGTATGGGATAAGTAGCATATAGTAGAGGTTACGAATCATTATGTCACCGTGTCTGGGTCATTTTATTAAATCCGGATTAAATTGTCTGCGTTCTGACAGTCGCAATTATAATAAGCAAAAGATTACCGATAATAAACACAGGCCTCGTAATTTTTGCAGTCTGTATATATAAATAATTTCGAAGATTTTTCAAGGTTATTTGAATATGAAATTTTGAACGTTAAATTAGACAGACACCAAGGGACATAATAAATGCATTATTTTGCTATTTTCCAACATTCTAAAAATAACTGTATGCACTGCTTGTGCACTTGAAATTTGATCCGCGATCTCCATTTGATAATTGCCATCCCACATTTATCAAACTGTAAACAGTTATTTAAGTAAACTTAGGAAAGATAAGTTGATTTTCTATGACGTAACTGTCTTTTTTTATTGAAATGTCTGCTGCATAGTTTCTATTTACACAGCTGAGATAATAAAATGCAAGTCATTTCGTCATCACCTTGGAATTTTCTTATTTCAAGTATCCATTTTCTAGGCCAGTCCTTTGAATCTTTGAAGTTTTAAAGCCCCCTTAAAAATTTATTAGAGCTTAATAAGTAATTCTGTACAATTTGTTTAAAAGAGTTGATTTGTTAGTATTCTATTTCATAGACAAAGCTTGTTCAGGTAAACATGAGGACACTTTGACATAAGCTATCATATTAGAATACGGAATCTTCGACCCAGGTGGGTTTATATGTCATATTGCATTTAATTAGACATGCTTGCATGTGAATTTTCAGATTCTCAAGTTAAATTGTACATTGTAATTTTAATTTACTTTGAAAGTTTTAATGGAATAAAGTTTGGTATATGATAGGTGCGGTTTCAATCTATTAAAGGTATTATTCTTATAGAGACTAACTGTACTAAAATCTGTTTTTTGTGTTGCCTGTTACAGAAAGTGGCTACATACAGGGATCACTTGTTCCTCATTCATCTGTCTGTCTGTCTGTCACAAAACTTGTCCAGACTACTCCTCAAAAACTACTGGTGCAATTTCTTTCAAACTTCAATTTTGACTTCTCTGTAAATTTAGCCTTGAAATCCTGTGAGAAAATAACAATGAACAAAGTTCTAAGCTAGTGCATAAAACAACATGCCAGAAAGTAAAAAAGAGTTGTTTAAGCTGTTTTTATATTGTGATTCTTTAACCAACATTTTTAAGCTAGGAAAATGTTAAAATTTGGCTGGATAATGTATGAGTTAATGGTGTTACATATGAATTGTGCCTTACCTTTATGTAGCCAGTGATTTAGAAAGAGTGTAATGTACATCAAAGAATGCGGGCATGCATTTTCTGGTGACCTTTTGCTCTCAAAGTAGAGATAATTTATGTATTCTACAGTCTTATGTTTAAGTGACAGTTGTTGAACTCAGTGACTTTACTGGCTAGCAATGTGTGTGTATACCTCAAGGCCAGAAATGTTGAGACTTCACATGAAACTATTTATAGTTGGTTGGATATTATTAATGAGACATTGTAAACATTATTTATTTATAAAGAACAATGTAATCATTTTGAGGTTTACTAGAGATGAAGAGCTATGATAGTGCTTTCCTACTCAACATTGGTGTGTGCATTACATGAAATAGTGAACAAAGTCCGAGTCATGTAAGATTGTGTGGATGTGCAGACTGGCATTATATGGCAGCATATGTTTGCAAGTAGGTAATGGTCATGAGTTTCTCAATAAGAAAACCATTCATGACTTAAAACCTTGGCATTTTTTGAGATTCTGATTTTATCAGGCACTGCACATTTTACTTGCAAAGGTTTCATTTTTGACACCTTCTCATCAATAAAGATGTGGCTTCATTTCAATCTGAGTTTACCTTCCTTCATTTATGAGCTCGTTCTTGAACTACCTTGTTTTTTTGTCAGATATTTTTTGTATTATTGCATTGTGATTTATGGATTGTCAGTCAATGACTAAATACAGCCTGGAACCACAATATCTTATACATAACAACCCAGACAAGCATGTTTACTTGCTAAGGAGAGCTTATTTGGCGTCCACTTGAATTACTTAAAGCTAACATTTTACCATAAAATGTCTTTGAATTTTTTAAAAGCTAACATTCTACTATTAAAAGTCTAGACACTTTGAAGAGTAATATCACCAATATCCAAGTCTCTGTCAAGACAGAATTGATGCTTTGCGGCATCTTGAGACAGACAGCAACTTAGTGGAGAAGATAGCCGGCAGCGTCTGTAAGTGGCTATCATACCTGAAGCAGCATAATACTAGCCACCGCAATACATCAATATATCTTGACAAAGTATCATTATGACATCATTGTCCTTTATTTCAAGAACCAACTCATAATTTTACCACATAATTATACCTTGAAATAATGAGTAATAGATCAGAAAAATGAGCTTTGTCCCGATAAGTCAAAATATTAGAACAATACAATAAGCTATGTTCCGATAAGCCATAGATCAGAAAAGTAAGCTTTGTCCCGATAAACCATAGATCAGAAAAGTAAGCTTTGTCCCGATAAACCATAGATCAGAAAAGTAAGCTTTGTCCCGATCAACCATAGATCAGAAAAGTAAGCTTTCGTCCCAATAAACCATAGATCAGAAAAGTAAGCTTTGTCCCGATAAACCATAGATCAGAAAAGTAAGCTTTGTCCCGATAAGCCATAGAACAGAAAAGTAAGCTTTGTCCCGATAAACCATAGATCAGAAAAGTAAGCTTTGTCCCGATAAACCATAGATCAGAATAGTAAGCTATGTCCCGATAAACCATAGATCAGAATAGTAAGCTTTGTCCCGATAAACCATAGATCAGAATAGTAAGCTATGTCCCGATAAACCATAGATCAGAATAGTAAGCTTTGTCCCGATAAACCATACATCAGTAATGTAAGCTTTGTCCCGATAAACCATAGATCAGAAAAGTAAGCTTTGACTCAATAAGTCATAGATCAATAAAGTAAGCATTATCCCCGTAAGCCATACATCGGTGAAAAAATAAGCTTCGTCCCAGTAAACCATGGATCAGAAAAGTAAGCTTTGTCCTGTTAAGCCATAGATCAGAAAAGCCATGTTTACACTTTTCCTGTTAGTGGCCCTTGTTTGCAATGTTGACCTGTATAATTGTCTATCAAAGCCAACTGTAAAAGTGGCCCCAGTAAAGCCAAGAAATCACTAAGCTTCGAAAGATAAAACTGTTGTGACATGTACATTGTAACCTGGTATTTTACTGGAAATGCAAAAACAAACATACTAACTGGGTCAGATTAGCCCAATCAGTATACATTATGTTGATTAATTAGAAAAACTGAAAATAAATGTTAAGTATAATTATATAGATGTTATCCGGAACCTGGCAAATGTGGGTTTTTCCCATCTAAGCTTGATTATTCACTTTGGGAAAAACCCACTTTTGAAGAGTTCTTGAGTTTCTCTTAGGTTCATCTGATGTAGGTTTTGACTTCATTATCAGCCAAGTTCTTTACTGAAATCATTGGAACTGATGGTAAGGAGGGTGTGGGGATTTTGGGTGATGTTGGAGGGAAAATAAGGGTGGGAATAATAACAGAAGATGGATAGATGGATATGGGATGTTTAGGTTGTGGTAAAGACAAGTCCATGGGGTGGATTAATAAGATAGCCACAGATAACCCATGGATTAAAAAGATAACCCATGGATCAGACAGATAACCCATGGATCAGAATATTAAAATATTGGTTTTTGTAGCCCATGGGTTTTGTTACTAAAATAGTTATTGGCTATAACTTCAGGTCATAGCATGTATCTGCTGAAGGTCTTGATTAGATTTTGTAAAATTGTTATGATATCTGAAATTTTGTAGTTTAACTGTTAAAGTCTGCTGGCATTGAATGAATCTACCCATGTACCTAATGCAGACCATGTACTGCCTGCACATCCATGCCATCAGATCATGTTCTGCATGCACTGTGCTATTCAGTCAGGAAATCTCTGAAATATTAGGCCATCCTTAAAAAAATGTTTGTTTGCAGTTACCCCACCTAGAATTTTCAAGATGGGTAGGTAGGTCGATTTTTTTTTTTTTTTTTTATTGAACTGTACTTCCAAATAAACATGGAATTTCAAAATGCTGGACAATATATGCTTTTTTTATCTGGTAACAATTAATAAATTGATAACTGAATTCTATTCTAATTTAATAAGACCTACATTTTATTTCTTCTATTAACCTTTAAAAGAACAAAAACAAAGCACAAGGCATAATTTTCTGATTCAAAAAAAAATAATTTTTTTATCCTGACCATGAAAAAAAAATTTGAGTAGGGGCAAATTTTGTGAGTCGGTCGCGTTACTGCAAACGAACATTTTTTTAAGGATGGCCTTACTTATAAAATGATGATGATTCATCCAGAGTCCTGTCCGACCAGACCTTAAGGGTACAGTATAAAGGGTTTTAACCTATAAAGAATACCGTAAAATTCCTATTAAACGCCCCCGGGGGCTTAACATTTTCCAAAAGGGGGGCTATTATTACAACACAGTTTTTCCTAAATCAAAAAATCATTGTAAATACATTTAGTGTTAGCAAGTGTTGGTAATAACATTAAAAAGTGTTAAGATTTTAAAGTTCATACTATAAATAAAATGGATTCTGAATGATTTGAATAATTTATGCATTTACTCATGAGTTCAGCACTGATGAGTAGATTGTTTTTCTTATCAAAAGGCCTAGGGGGGGCCTTTATTAGGGGAGGGGCGTTTATTAGGAATTTTACGGTACATTTGTTTTCCAAATGTATTCAGAATGTTGATTTTTTGCTCATTATATTTGTCTGATTTATATGCAGAGTTAAATTGAGAGATTTAAGTTACCTCCAAGTACATGTGTACCCACAT